ATTGTACTGGAACAGCTGAAGCTGCCGTTCGAGCACGCATACGTGCAGCCTGGAATAAATGGCATCTCCTTGCCTCTATATTGATGCGGCGTGACATCCCACTTCCACTACGATCAAGACTTTATAAATCTGTGATACGTCCGGTGTTGTTATATGGTGCAGAAACATGGCCAATGACAACCAAACTGGAACAACAACTTCAACGAACCGACATGAAAATGCTCCGATGGATGCAACGAATTAGTCTGAAGGACCACATCAAATCTACCAAAATCCTGCGTCGTGCTGGTTTAGATGATATAAAGAACGAATGCCGGCAACACCGTCTGAGGTGGTTTGGTCATGTCAAACAAAGTGGAAACAGTGCCATAACTTCTCTGGCAGATGTTGAAGTACCTGGCACACGTCCCAAAGGCCGTCCAAAAAAGTCCTGGTCGCAAACAATCGAGCAAGACATGAAAGCTCTAAATTTAAATGAAATGGATGCAACTGATCGTCTAATTTGGCGCAAAAAGTTGATGGCAAAGAAAACAACGGCCTACCTCGGGAAACCGGGTCTCTGGACGCAAAACGAAGATTGATTGATCTTATTGCTCTCGACTTTTCTAAAGCTTTTGACACTCTCAATCACTTCTCACTTTCAAATAAGTTAGCTTCTCTTCCTCTAACTGACAACATTCACAATATAATAATAAATTTTCTTTCTAATAGATGTCATTCTACTTTCTTTAGCTCTACTCTTTTATCTACTCTACCTAATAATTCTAACGTAGTTCAAGCTTCTGTCCTTGGACCATCTACCTTCATCATCAATGCTTCTACTCTCAATACTTTTCATAGCTCTAATCACATCATCAAATACGCTGACGACACCTACTTTATCATCCCATCAATTAACTCACTCTAATCACATCATCAAATACGCTGAAGACACCTACTTTATCATCCCATCAATTAACACCATCCAATCAGAACTCGACTCATTAACTACATGGTCAAAACAATGCAACCTGTCACGTAATCTCAACAAATCATTCGAACTCATCATTCACAATAGCCGTAAGAAAATAACATGACCTCCAGAATACCCATCAATCACTCGCACAAGTCAATTAAAAATATTAGGCATTATATTCACCTCCACACTTAATATAGCACCTCATATTAATCACATCATCACAAAAGGCTTTCAAACATTTCACGCACTCAAAACGCTCCGATCACATGGTCTCAGAGGGGTCAAATTATTCGACATCACTGAATCACTAATTATTTCACGCATCAAATATGCAGATCCCTCCTGGTCTGGTTTTGCTACACAACAACAACTTCAGCGACTACAATCTCTCATCAAAAAACTAATCCGCTTCAACTATCTACCTGCATCATATCCTACCGTCACTCAGATATTCAACACACTCGATTCAAGACTGTTCAAGAAAGTAGAAAAAAACAAGAACCTCGTCATCCATCCTCTACCACCACCAATTAAAACTACAACACACAACCTTCGTCAAAGCAAGCATAACTATCAAGTCGCCACCCAATCTACATATCAGGAAAAGACCTTCATCACAAGACACCTCACACATATTCACACTCAATAAAACTTTATCATTCACACTAGTTTTTATTTATCGATCACCTCACTAACTCACTAAGTCATCATCTAGTCTATTAATTTTCCTTTTTATGCCATTACTTCATTTTATTGTCAATTTTATTTGATTTTCTTTTATTTATTTTATTATTATTATCTATTTTGTTCTATTTTATTTTTCATGTTTAAATATTTTTCTTTCTCCGTTTTTTTATTTATTTTTTTACTTATTTAATTTTGTACTACTGCCTTGCATGCTGTAACAGTTTCTGCGTCTGTCAGATCCTGATTTTTAAAGAATAATAATAAAAAAAGAATAACAGGCCAACTGCGTTGGACAGAGCTGAATTAAAAAGAATTTTTAAAAATGACATTAACGGTTTGTTGTCTCATTCTTTTCAGTAGTTGATTCTGTGTTGCTCCTTCTACTCTAGCCGAAATGTCAACAACCCAAAAAATTTAATCATGGCGTTTTTTAATTGTTTCTCATTTTTTAACTAAGAGCTACAGGCACACTCATTTCTTGCAGTTCTAAAGTGTAGCAAAAATCATCTTCCCTCTTTCCCTAATGTTTTTTTTATTAAAAAGATTTCCAAATAAATTTTCCAGAAGATTTATATTTTCTCTTCATTTCTTTATCACAAGTTATCATAGCATAGCTGTCAGAACATAAACTGTTAGTCCTTAGCAATTCTCGCTTTCGTCAACCACAAAACATTTTTCATTTTTTAAAAACTTTATGTTATATGCACACTCTTATGCTTGCTCTTATAAACTTAACAAAATTGAAATCGGTTCGTTTTGAAATGCATTGTTACAGGTAGTTAACCGTTACCACATTATTTTTATTTATTTTCCTACATTTCAAATTCAAGTCTTCTGCTGTACTATCCCTTGATTTCTTTTACCACCCTTAAAATTTCCTTTGCTTCATGTCTCAGTCAGTTAAACGTCAAATCCTATCTGCACGTGTCATTCATTCTTCTAAAACAAACAACTGGTACCTCATTCTGTGCCCTACAGCCAAACTCCCACGACCACCAAGAACCACTGTCACTCAAGCCTCTCTACATTGTCTCATGTATATGTTGTTGGCGGCTGTTTGTTTGGAAGTGAAATGTGAACAGTTGAAAGTTGAAGGGTGCAAATACTTAAAAAATTTACTGCCAGTGACGTGTTCCTGAGCAACAAGCTTACCAGCAAGATTGTTAAAAAATAGCAAACTGCGTGTTTAAGAAAATGCTTCAATAGACTAGAAATAATTTGGTTAAGATGGAATGCAAAAGTTTCATAGGAAGACCAGTCCTGACCTGGTGAGGAAAGACAAATAAAAAATTGAAATTAAACACAGGTGGTGCATGTGCACCAGAGATATAAGTAAGAAGGAATAAAAGCGTTCTGACTGCTTTGGAATTAAAAGTACATTTTACAACAAGTGCAATTAAAAATAGTGATAAGCTAATGTGTATAAAAACAAACCTTAAGCCACTTGTCAACACATTTGGAATGATAATGGTGCTTGCACGGAAGTATCCTAATTTTCTGTCTCGCTTCAAACTCACACATGCACACCACGCACAATGTTTGTAATGTTTGTTGGTCATCATTTAGAGTTTCTACGTCTGCTTTATAGTGGTAGGCCATCATCTGGTTGATATCATTCCTTGACAACCCTTTTGGTTTTGTATGCGCAAGCTGTTGAGCCAACCCTAATAAAGCCTTTAACAGAAAATAATGCTTCGTTTAATTTGCTTAAATTAGTTTGCCGTCAAAAACATTTTCAAAATTATCACAACTGACGTACATTGTAATTTTCAGCATGTTCAGTTTCCTGGAACATAGCCATGTCACTTGGCATGGAGCTGTTTAGAAGGATGATATGGAAAATTAATCAATATTATATTGATATTAATTATTCTTTAAAAAAAATTAGACACTGACAGACGCAGAAACCGTTACATAATGCAAGGTAATAATATAAAATGATAACGGAAAGTAAATAACGGAGTTGGAATGTTTAAGCATAATAAGCATGGAAAATAAAATAACAATTTAAAAAAACAAATAGAATAATTAATTAATTACTTGATTAGTTAATGACTTAGTAAGTAAATTATATGATCGTTTACGAGAATAAACAACATTGAAAAATTGAACAAATGAGTGTTAATATTATTAAGGCTTCTTGTGGTGAAGGTCTTACAATGATAAGTATATATATATATACATACATACATATATATATATATATATATATATATATTAGGATATCACAAGATTATATATATATATATATATATATATATATATATATATATATATATATATACTTTATGAATTTTTTAATATACTTAAACATTCCAACTCGTTATTTACTTTCCGTTATCATTTTATATTATTACCTTGCATTATGTAACGGTTTCTGCGTCTGTCAAATTCTAAATATATATAAAATAAATATATATACATAATACATAAACGAAATGACAAGTAATTATCCTATGATGAATACTGGTTCCTAAGTCGCCCAGCATAAATAAGTCCGCGTGAATTGTCGAGGCATTCTGGCAGTCGCGAAAAGCGAGTTAAGAGGCCTACATACACCCCAACACCATAATCAACAGAATCAGAAGCAGCCTTCAATGCATAAAGAGAGAACGAGAGTTGGACATTGGAATGTTAGAACCCTACACAGAGCATTTTGCGCCAATTTCACTAACATTCTCTCAAGTGTTTATATTATACACTCTCCATATGGTTTTTATTTATCCTTTATCTTTATAGCTCTTGCCCATTTTACTTTTTGGCCAAAAAATTGTTAACTTACTACACCATGGACTTTAGAACTTCCTTCTAATCATCCCCACAGAATGTAAGAACAAATGCAAAATTATAAAATTATGATTGGCCAACTTGAACATATAACAAAATTGCCATGTCACGATTAATAACCACTAGTGTTTTATGTCCTGTCCTGGGCATGACATAAAACTGCATCCACGCTGCCTTGCGTGCTTTTGAGCAAAAGGCTAGGCCCACCGCTTATAACTGGTGGTTGTCGTCAGCATGGGTGTCCGGATGTAAAAACTTTTCCAAATTTTTTTATGCCGCCAAAAACAAAAACAACGGCCCCTAGTCCCCATCAGGCCTTAAGTGGTCAAGGGGTGCTAAAAAACACTGGGAAGTATGCAATAGTGGAGGGATGTTGCAGAAAAATTCAGAATGGCCCTCTATGGTACTTAGACTTGGAACGCTCAATGTTGGATCACTGACTGGCCGCAGCATGGAAATTGCAGAAATGCTCGAGCGTAGAAGGATTGACATCTGCTGCCTTCAAGAGACCCGATGGAAATCGAATGGTGTCTGTCACATCAACTCTGACAATGAAAAATATAAACTATTCTGGAATGGTCAAAAGACGGCCAAAAATGATGTTGGAATTTTTGTCAAAGAACCGCTAGCCCAAGAAGTACCGGATATTAAAAGAATTAATTCACGTCTCATGTGGATCAAGCTTCGCCTAGAAAAGCAAACAATAATTATTTTTTCTGCATACGCACCACAGACAGACGAATCAGAAGAGATGAAAAATGATTTCTGGGCTGCGCTCTCTATGACACCATCTCAACAATCAATACCAAAATCTGAAACAATCCTGATTGGAGGTGATCTCAATGGCCACGTTGGAGAGAAAACAGATGGTTTTGACAATGTTCGAGCACGCATACGTGCAGCCTGGAATAAATGGCATCTCCTTGCCTCTATATTGATGCGGCGTGACATCCCACTACCACTACGATCAAGACTTTATAAATCTGTGATACGACCGGTGTTGTTATATGGTGCAGAAACATGGCCAATGACAACAAAACTGGAACAACAACTTCAACGAACCGACATGAAAATGCTCCGATGGATGCAACGAATTAGTCTGAAGGACCACATCAAATCTACAGAAATCTTGCGTCGTGCTGGTTTAGATGATATAAAGGACGTATGCCGGCAACACCGTCTGAGGTGGTTTGGTCATGTCAAACGAAGTGGAAACAATGCCATAACTTCTCTTGCAGATGTTGAAGTACCTGGCACACGTCCCAAAGGCCGTCCAAAGTCCTGGTCGCAAACAATCGAGCAAGACATGAAAGCTCTAAATTTAAATGTAATGGATACAACTGATCGTCTAATTTGGCGCAAAAAATTGATGGCAAAAAAAACAACGTCCTACCTCGGGGAACCGGGTCTCTGGACGCTAAACGAAGATTGATAGTGTCCTAGTTCATGGAGTCCAATATATTTTTCTTCATGTGAAAAACCATCTTAAAAATTCTTTATTTATTTCACAAAATTGTTTTTAAATCTAAAGGTCTTTTTTCCACAAAATTCTTCCTTTATTAATTCCCTTTGAAAATTATATTTCCTACATCCAATCTCCATTTTAACAATCATTCATTAAAAAAAGTCCGACCCATAACAGATGGAGACTACAAACGAAAATTGGTTCTTCATTTTTGTTCTCCCCACAATCAGCACCAAGTGACAACAGTTTGCAACGACAGTTTTAAGAACGTGTCCATGATGGTCTGCTTTAAATGACTTACCATTCAGTGCAAGAGAGTGGGACAGCTGAGAGAGTGAGGGGTGCGTTCTAATTTGCATCTAACGACAAAGACAAATAAAAAAAAAACTTGCAAAATTGAATACTATAGAATGAATGTAAATAAGTGAAGCTCTGTAGAGAAAAAGCAACGTGAATTTATTATAAAAATCATTAATTTTAACGTGCAGTTTATAGCAAAGGCGTCAAACGAGGATGTCGTATGTTATATGTTACGTGGATGTTCACAAACATGGATGTCATACAAAAATGTAACAGAGATAATGAAAATATGACAGCTAACAAAGATGGCGCATCGTATAATTCGGGCTCGTGGGGCTGGCTGTTGGTGGCTTGCTGAAGAGGTACCTGGAATTATTAATTAATTCAAATGACAATTAATATGATGACAACATAATTTACGTCAAAGATAAACGAAATTCACACTTGAATGAAATTCAATTCTAAACATTGCAATTGTTTTTATTATGTTCACACTTGCAAAAAAGCAAAAATAATATAAACTTGTAAATCATATCGAGCGTCTGATTGAGGCAGCAGATTGTTGTCATGTGGCAGTGGAGATATAGATTGAACGTCAAATGCTCTGCAGTGATTTGAAACATTTGTTGATGACAACTGAGGTATGGTGGATGCTGGCAGGGAAAGATATCTTCTTAAGCCCACTCGGTTGTGGTCCATGTGATGATTGAGCAGGTCCTGGAGAGCTGGTGGGTGTAGTGAGGAATGGCTATCCAACGACTGTCGAGATGAATTTGGAGGGAATAACGTTGCTGCATTGTGATAAGTCGTATCAAAATTTTGAAAATTTAAAGGTTGCTGATGTAACTGATTTTGATGATAGTAATGATGCAGATGTTGGAGGTTGATCATTCCAGTTCCTGTTGGATGATGGCTGATATGATTCATGCAAGGACACATGTTGCTGGCAGGTCTTAACAACAATGGGCACGAATTAGGATCGCATAACATTGGGTGAGAAACACTGCCGTAGAGTAAGCTGTTGTGGTCTGGCAGTGGTGGTGGTGGGGGTACTAAACATCGGCTGATGTTGTCATAAATAAACAAATCATTGTCAATCCCGCATATCATAAAATCTTTGTTAGTGAAATCGCATATCATCAGATTTTTTTCATCCCACATAGGCAAATTAGTGTGCATGTCATTTAAATTAATGTCACAAATCATGACTGTGTCGTCAATATTGTCAACAATTTTATTAACGATACTATTTGCCATGAAGTTGACATCAGTTCTTGCTTCACCTTGTTGTCCTAACCCATCATTAGTGTTTATGAAAATATTGTTAGCTAGAAAAGTCGATTGCAAGTTTGAAGATGTATAATTAACTGGGAATGGTGGTAACGATTGTGAAAACATTTCGGAAGATGTTTGACCATTGAGATTCGATGAAAATTTATGATCAAGACAATTTCTGACTGTGTTACGAGAAATATTCTGAGATGTTGGCGAAACAATATCACCATCATTTCTACATGAAGTTGGTTGGATTGTTGGGACAGTGCTTCTGTTGGATGGTCGCGACGTTTTATTGAAACTGTTGAGCATGTTGTTGAATTCTCTCGAGACAAATTCTTCATAGGAAGGTGGATGTTTTTGTTGTGGTTTTGAGCCAAGTGTTAACATCTTTGCAACCCTAGTAGATCGAACTTTTTTTCGAGCTGGTGAATCACGAGGAACAACATTCTCCTACAATGTATTTTAAAAAACAGTGTGAAAAAGTTATTTAAAGGAGTTAAGCAAATTTTTGCTACAAGTTTCTTTCATAAACTTTTTAACTGTATAATGTAAATAAATTGTACATGTCGCTAGATGTTTGTACATAACAGACCTAGGTTCATGCATTTGTTCACTCAAGACTTGATTACTGCAATAGCCTGTTCTATGAATTATCTGACGGGCCTGTTTCAGAATTACAATCTACACAAATTCAAGCTGTGAAAGTCGCAGCAGGGAGGCTGAGGTACGCCTACGTGACAGTGATATTGAAAAAATCATTTTTAAGATGCTACTCCAACTACGAATCTCTTAACAAATATGCACCAACGTATTAATATTTGTCAGAAAAATTGAAAAGATTGTTATCAATGCAAAGCAGAATGCATTTGAAATCAACTGGTGTGAACTTTCTGCTGCTTCCAGGCACACATAGTATTTCCATGGCAGGACCTAGTCTGGAACAACCATCCTGTTCATCCCAGAAAAACCTTCTTGCTCATTTCAGAAATGCAGAATTAAAACTTTTTTACTTCAAAAAGAAACTGAAATCATTTCTATTTTTGTCATTATGCACCTTTTTCTTTTCTGTCTTTTTATTAGTTAAGTCAGGTTAACTTTGGTTTCTTTTTCGATAGCATTTTTGAAAATCATTAATAATGATTAATAATTATTATAAATTCAAATATGTGTGTATTTCAGTATGTATGCATTTATAAGTTATTAGGAAACAAATACATAAAAAAAAGATATGAAACAAATGATAAATAGAAACCCTGATAGAACTGCATTGTTTTAACATATCCAACTAGTTAACTTATTATGAACATTTATAAGAATAAAAAAATTAAATGAATTATAAATCAATATTTTTGCATTCACCTTGTTTTCGTGCCTAATTTGATGAACTTCCTGATTTCTTTTTGATCTGATTGGAGGACTAATTTAATTTAAAATTTAATTAATAGTAAAAACAAAGAAAAATTAGAAAACTTTTAAAAATCTTTGCTAATTTATCATTGAACACAAAAATTTTTCTCATCAAATCAAAACTATTAAATTTCCGTTAGTCCTAGCATTCTAATCTATTTTCTCTCACCAATCCCCAAAATTCATTTACTGGCCTATTTTTACCAATGTCTCTCCAATGTCCAATGCGCACTCTTCTGTTATAGAAAGCAGGAGAAAAGAACTAGATCAATCAATCAATCAATTTTCGTTTAGCGTCCAGAAACCCAGTTTCCCGAAAAGTTTCTAGAAAAGAACTAAATAGAATCACTAAACTACACGTTAATAATGGATATAAAAGTAATGTATTATAAGAATCACATGTCAACTGCTTTTGAACAGGATGAAAAAATTATATAAAGAATCATAAAAAATAATGTCCAAGCAATCAACGAAAATGTTAGTATTAAACTACGAATATACTACTCCAACCAAAGAACGTCATCTCTTGTGATGAAAAACAACTGCACTAATAAACCAGAATCGATAATGTATCATAGCCATCTAATATATTTGTTCAAATGTAATATCGGTGAGTATGGGCACCATAGTTTCGAATATGTTGGGTATGACAACGACCAAGTTATCAAGAAGACTTACGATGCCCGTACAAACTGGCCCTATAAAGAATCAAATGAAAGAGAAACACAAAACTAAAATTACTAGAAAAATCTTGGACCACAATGTTGAAATTTTAAATTACAATAACACCATTATAATTTACGACTAGCCAAATCAATACTCATAAAACAAAGATATCCGACAATAAATATTCAACAAAGGGCAATTGGAATTCTTCCTACCAATAAATTTAGAAACAGAGGAATCATCGATAATCAATCAATCAATCATCGTTTAGCGTCCAGAGACCCAGCTCTCCCAAGATAGGACGTTGTTTTCTTTGCCCTCAATTTTTTGAGCCAAATTAGACGATCAGTTGTATCAATTTCATCTAAAATTAGAGCTTTCATGTCTTGCTTGATTGTTTGCGACCAGGACTTCTTTGGACGGCCTTTGGGACGTGTGCCAGGTACTTCAACATCTGCAAGAGAAGTTATGGCACTGTTTCCACTTCGTTTGACATGACCAAACCACCTCAGACGGTGTTGCCGGCATTCGTCCTTTATATCATATAAACCAGCACGACGTAGGATTTCGGTAGATTTGATGTGGTTCTTCAGCCTAATTCGTTGCATCCATCGGAGCATTTTCATGTCCGTTCGTTGAAGTTGTTGTTCCAGTTTTGTTGTCATTGGCCAATGTTTCTGCACCATATAACAACTTATCTGAGGTTGATACCTGGATGTCGAACAATGGATTAAAATTGAATCAATGCAAATCTAAGTTTATGCCTGTGGCAACTCGACAGCAGTTAGCGAAAATTAACATCAGTTCAGTAAATGTCGGTGGCCAAGAGATAGAATTCAGTGAAAACAAATTTGGGCTTTGTCTTGGATTCAAATCTATCGATGAAACATCACTTGAAAATGCTCTCTTCGTCATGTACATATCAGTTGCACAGATTATATCGCATTCGAAGCTCTTTAGATAGATCAGCCACACAGACATTGATTCATGCTTTCATTCACTCGCGGCTTGACTATTGTAATAGTCTGTTTCATGGCCTCCCAAAGAAATCAATTAAAGTACTGCAATCCATACATAATAGAGCTGTGAAGGAAGGTTATCGTTGGAGGATTGAAGTTCGATCATGAGAGTTAGACTCTAAAAGATCTTCATTGGCTGAATGTTGAAAAATGGATAATTTTTAAAATGTGTATTTTGATGTATAAAGCCATGAATGGAATCTTGCCCAGATATTTAGTAGAAATAATCAAGAAAAAATCAGTGACCATAGATGGCATATGCTTGAGAAGTGATTGCTCAAATTTAATGATAGCAAACAGTGCTCACTTGTGTATTGGTGCCTGAGGGATTGCTGTTGCGGGTCCAGTGTTATGGAATGGTCTACCAGAGTCCCTGGAGGAGCCGGAAATGAACATGGATGCTTTCAAGAAGAATCTCAAGACTTATTTGTTTTCGATTTGATATTTGTTTCATTATTAAGTACACATACTCAAACAATAGTTAATTCTTTTGACTGTAAAGTAGCGCTTTTGAAATATTTTTTTTTTAATTGGCGCTTTATAATTTTTGGAATAAAAAATAAATAAATAACAAGACCGGACGTATCACTGATTTATAAAGTCTTGATTGTATTGGTAGTGGGATGTCACGCCGCATCAATATAGCCATCAAAGAATTGATCAAAAAATCTTCATTGACCAAAGAAAACTGCAAATTGACAATCAGCAAAGAATTGCAACAGCATTATCGACCAGAAGAATATTATTTAAAAATTTACAAGCAAAGAGAATTAACAAAACAAAGATATAATAAACGGACAGGACAAAGCAGAATAAAAGCACTTTGCCCAGGACACAGCAGAATAAAAGAACTTTGCACACACAGAGAATTGTAAAACTTTGACCTCTGGAGGAACCCTGTTGCAGAGGCGGATTGGCTCTGACTTCGTTTGGAATCCTATTGGTCCCCTGGAAGAGGCAACAACAACACTTCCCAATGGACACCAATTTTTTTATTAAAATTAATAAATTGAATAATAATTATAAAATTACTGTTAGAAATATTGAAAAGCTCAATCTAAAAAACTTTCAAAAGCTAAAAAAGTAAAAACTCAGTAGATTTTGTAAAATAATATATATAAAAACATGCGTGGTGTGAGTGTATAAATAATTTGTTTGATATGTTGAATTAGCCATTATGTTATGTTGTGAACTGTTTTCCTCACAGACATAAATTTTACCTTTGTGAACAACTAAATGTTTATGTTACATGAAATATCCTCTGAGAAATACTAAGACTTAAGAGTTATATGATAATATAACAACAATAATAAAATAATAAAAATCCCACCTGCACAATACATGGCTACATACATTAATATAAAAAAAAATATAGAATTGCAAATCCTAACCCTAATAGGCCTACCCTAAGCTTCATAAAAATAGGCTAATTTAGTTCAAAAAGTAAAGAAATTTTATTTTTAATATAATATGAATCAAATAGAATAGTAAGATAAAGGCAAGATTACCTAATTAATCCATTCCTGTCTGTGTCTGGATTGTTGTTATTGGATGACTTGATAGAAGCTGGTGACAAGACTAGAATTCTAAGTCTGGTCGGGGTCAACACTCCAACATTCTCATTGCGTGTGGTGTCCTGTTGTAACTCAAGGTTAAGACGAATTTGAGCAATGTCAGATCTTTTTGGGGAGCTTAAAATTTCATCTAAACTTAGCTGGCAAGAAGCATCCTTCAATTTTTTCGATTTGCTCATTTTACACCGAAAGTTTTGGTACTTTAACTAAAGTATTTTATTTTTAAATAAAAACTTTAAAAGCTTATATAAATAATTAAATATTAATTAAAAGTTAAAAAAAAGTGTTTAAAAAGTAAACACCATTAAATAAAAGTCGAGACTAAACTCTAAAAAAAACTTAACTAAAAACGGAATGAAACAAATAAATAAAAATATGTTGCGTTTTTTAATTAAGATTTAAGTGTCATTATTTAATCATCTTTTATAAATATAAAATACTGAATGAAGCTAACGTCAACCCGACCCAATTTAAAACATGATTCCGCGTAGGAATGGGAACGAAAGACAGCATCCATACACTTTTATACGTGAACCATATTCATTTAAATAACCCGCCAAACACAGCTTGCACGTTATTTAATCCCGCCATATAATCATTAATATTCATAAAAGCTTACATGCCTACATATACCTGTAACAGTACCTACTATACAACTATATGATATATATATTATGTATATCAAATATTAATATATTATACATATATATACATTAATTTATTTATTCAAACATAATATATATACTGAAAAAATGAGTTAAAATTATGGGTGAAAATAGTTGATATATACATATATATATATATATATATATATCAACTATTTTCATTTATAAATATATATATATATATATATATATATATATATATACATATGTTGATCAACAAGGCGTTGATGGTATGAAGGACATTGTTTTAACCAATGTTTGTATGTGTGTGTATGTATATATACGATTCATTCGGAATCGAAATATGGCCTTATTTGCAGCATGAATTCGAAAAATAAGTTTATTTTGAATTTTAATAAACTAAACGTTCACCAAAAATTTTACATTTATATATATATATATATATATATATATATATATATATATATAAATGGATTATTTTCTCATCACTACGCCGATGACACTCATCTGTATACATCTGTCACTTCTGGTGATCTTGTAAGCAGCATTCGAGTCTTAAGCAATTGTACTAGCGAGGCTTATCGGTATGCTAATAATTTTCTTCTTCTCAAGCCCAACAAATCTTAAATTATGGTCATTGGGACACATCAACAACTGTCTGCACAGTGCACATATATGCACAGTGCTATATTAATTTTTTTTCTTTTTTTTATTAATTTTACTGTGCATATATTTTTTTATTTAAATAAATGTTTTATACATTTAATATGTATACAAATATGTTTATTCGCATCTTGTATGATTTTTACTTAAGTGTTCATTAAACACGAATGTATGTACGTATTTACGTAGATATATATTTTGTATAAACGCTATTACGGCACATGCACGTGCATATGAGTAAGCAGTGTGTATATATTAAATAATGTTTTGTAGCTTGTTTTTATGGGCGACCAGTCAAATTGTAAATTAGTTTGTTTTAGAACGAAACTTTAGTATAAGATTTAAACATGTAGTTAACGTTGTCATAGTCTAGTGCCTTCTCCAAACGATTTTAATATAACTCCCATCATCTCACTAACTCAGCGTCTTCTTTCTTTGTCTTCCTTTTTATTTCCTTCCCCGGATGAAAAATATTTGACTCCGACCGATTACGACACGCTTCTTAAAAAAAGTGTACTGCTTACAGTAAAATACTTTTTATTACAAAATTCCAACATTTTCTTTCACTTTGATTTGCTTAGCCATATTTTTTAATTATTTCCCTGATTTTACTTTAGAAACCTTAGCGTTAATATATCATCCACAACTACCTTCGCATATCCTACCTATGAATTTTATTCAACGTGGTCTCTAACGCACTATAAAAACTTTCTATCTCTGTATTGTTAGCTAAAAATGTTAGAACATATAAAAGTTATGAGAGGTTCAGCTGATATTTTCATTGTATTTAGTAAATGACCGGATTTATTATAACCGATGAATGTTTAAGTGAGTTTGACGTAATATGTAGCCTCTCTTCTTTTATGTGCGTTTTCCATTTCAGTATTTATATATCTAATTAATGAAAAAAATAATGTGAACTTAAGAAATTAATGTGATTTATACAGACTTTGAGAAAGCATTCGATAAAGTTCCTCATCACAAGTTAATTAAAAAATTATGCTAATATGGTGTGAATGGGATTGTGGTTGATTGGATTTCTGATTATCTTAGTGGTAAAACATTTGCAGTGTGTGTGAATGAAAGTCTGTCTGATAATTTTAGTGATTAGTAGGGTTCCACAGGGCAGTGTGTTGGGACCAATTTTGTTTGTTATTCATGTGAATGATATTTTTTATTTATGTAAGAATGATTCTAATGTTGGGATGTATCTATATGCTGATGACGCTAAATTGTTCAAGTGTATCTCTTTTAATGATGATGATATGGAGGCCCTTTAGGCATGTCTGGATGTTTTTTATGGGTGGTGTGTAAAATTGGAGCTTGGGGTGAATGTGGATAAATGTGTCGTTATGAATTATGGGTGTAGAGCATGTGGTAAGAGATCTTATACTATGAATGGTTTACTTCTTGAAAATGTGGAATTTGTTAAAGATTTGGGAGTAATATTTGAACCAGACATGAAATTTCATAAACACATTTATAATACAATTAATAAGTGTAATATAACTCTAGGATTGATAAATAGACATTTTATGAAATTACCTAAACCTACTTTTTTAATCTTATATAAATCCCTTGTCAAATCAAAGATAGAGTATGCTGCTTCAGTGTGGTCTTCCTGGTCTTTGAAAATTATAGAAGATATTGAACGGGCCACAAGAATGGTGAAAGATTGTATTGGACTCAATTATGAGCAGAGATTAAGACTCCTCAATCTTCCCACACTGAGGTATAGACGAATCAAAGGTGATCTTATCACAGTTTTCAACATAACTAGGAACAGCGTACTATCATCGTGTTATCCTGTGTTAAAAAAACCTAACGATGATCGTACCAGGGGTCATCCTTTCAAGTTGTCTACTCATAGTTTTAACACGAATCATGGGAAATTTTGTTTTTCCAATAGGGTGGTTGAGTTATGGAACGGCTTGGATGCGGACATTGTGATAGCTAAAGATGTTGAAACATTTAAAATGAAGTTGGATCGACATATGAATTCTACAGACATGATGATCAACTGGAGATCCTCGCTTGGCATAATGTCATAGTTTATATATTTATATTATCTCTGACATTTTTGGAGTTAATGTGTGTGTGTATGTGTGTGTGTGTGTGTGTTTGTGTGTGAGCTGATGCGTGTGTAAGTGTGTGTATATATGTGTGTGTATGTATATATATATATATATATATATATATATATATATATATATAGACATTTATCATTAACAATCTGTATTTTCATCCAACTGTATTTTATTTTACTTCATTTATTTATTTTATTATTTTTAAAATACAATGGAAGCTTTTCATTTGCTGAAAGCATAGGAACGTCAGTTTGCGCCTCTCTATTTTCTGTTTATGTTATGTTATATATCATAAGCCCCTGTAGACCTCTATTATGCCATATCTTGGTTCTCTGTACTTTAAGGAAGGCAATTCCAGATATCTTAGCCTTTGTTCATATGACAATAAAATTATAGTGGTTCTTCTTTGCACTTCCTCGATCAATTCGATTTTCCTTTTTTAATTGGTGACCAGACAGATCGAGTATATTTCAGATGGCTTCTTGTCATACTCTTGTATAACATTAAGAAAAAGTTTTTATCTAAATATTTGAAATTTCTTTTGATTAATAATTTCTTTCAATAAGCTTTGTTGATTTTTTGATGGATATTCTCTGAAGAAGTCAGATCTTGATCAAAAGTAATACCTAAATCATTTATTGAAACCACGTGCTCTAACACTTCACTTTTGTTGTCACAATCAAGTGTGTAACACTGAATTGGTACTTCCACATAAATAATATCTTGCATTATTTAATATTCAATTTCAGCGACCATTTATTATACCATTTTTTTATACTATCTAAATCTAAAACTAGTATTAAATCGTTCTCATCGACGTCTTTCGTTATGTGTTTATACAGTTTTGTATCATCTACGTATAGACTCAGACTAGCAAAAGCACCAATTCTTTCTAGTAAATCATTGATATAAATCAGATAGAGTAAAAAGCCTAAAATTTTTTGCGGAACTGAACCAAATCAATAATTTTGTCTAGAAATTTCTTTTAAATTTAAGTTGTGGCATCCACATATCATAATGTAATTTTGTAATGTAAAACGTTCTAACCGATTCATAACATGCACGCATCAAATATTTATTTAAGCTCTAATAATATCATAAAAGCTTATACATATAACAAATGTCGTTTGTTTAATCGATTGCTACATACAGTCGTGATAAAGCAGATCGATCAAAATGCAAAACAAACCTCGTAACTGCTGCGCAAGTTTTTAAGGTTGTAAAACTTTCTAAAAAAGTTTGTGCAATCTCACCGGTTATCAATATTTTTAAATTCCCTTTTCCCAGTCGCAAGATATTTTTGAAAATCTTGGCCTTTTCCCGACAAAGTTGTCAAGATTCGCCACTGGTAGTTTATGTATAAACAAAGTGACTGACTGAAAACAATATTTAATAAATATTGGTAGACATTTTTTAATAACTATAAAAAGTTTTTATATTTATTTTTAATTAAACTTTTTAAAAGAAAAATTGAATTAAGAACAATTGATGAAAGCATTTCAATAAAAATACTTTTGCTAGTTAAACACTTTTTAAAATATATTGCACAGTCAATTTTTCATTCGACAAATAATTTTGTTCATGCAAAAACAAATTGATTTATATATACGTTCCACAATCATCTGTTATTGTACTTTGTAGCGAAACATTCACAATATCATATATGCGTTTGAAAAAGACAGAAAAAACTCAAATAAATATATGTATATATATATATATATATATGCAGAAAAAGAATCAATGAAAAAGAAAGTAAAATAACGAGGGAAAAAATTACAAGAGCAATGAGTAAAATGAAAAACAACAAAAGTACAGAGAAGGATGGTATTCCAATAGAACTGATAAGAACAGGAGAACAAGTCATGTGTAAAAAAATTCACACTATCTTTCAAGAAATTTGGGAAAGTGGAAAGTGGCCAGAAGAATGGTGCAAGTCAGTTCTGGTTATCCTGTCGAAAAAGGGAGACCAAAAAGACTGTAATAATTACAGATCAATTGCACTAATTTCGCACATATGCATGATCATGCTGACCATCATAAAAGAACGACTAAAAAAGGTCATAGAGCAACATCTGCATGAAAAACAAGCAGGCTTCAGAAAGGAAAGAAACACGATCCAACAAATTCTGATGTTGAGACTGCTGATGGAGGATGCAAAAAGTAGCGGTCAGAAAATTTACCATTGCTTTTTTATTTTGAGAAAGCGTTTACTCTGTCTGGCATGAAGGTTTGTGGGCAACATTAGAAAATATGGGAACATCAGAGAAAGCTGGTCAAAGTACTGAAAGGACTTTATGAAGAATCAAAAATGTCGGTAATAATAGGTACAGAACTTGGGGATTGGATAAAGGCAGACATTGGAAGCAGACAGGGCGATCTAATACCACCAATACTATTCATAGCATTGCTAAAAAGAGCAATGGAAAAAATGGAAAATTTGGAATTGGGTGGAATTGACATAGGAAGGAGAACTGTCAAAAATCTCAGGTTCGTAGACAATATAGACCTTCTTCTAGTGAAGAAGGTCTACAGAAACTAATTGAACTAACACAAGTTGGTAGAAAAGATCACTGGTTGCATATTAACAAAGACAGAACAAAGGTGATGATTACGGGAAAAGGCAGAAACAATGCGGAATTTCAAATAGAATTAGAAAAACTCGAAAAAGTAGATCGATTTGTGTACCTTGGCAGTCTTATAACCTGTAACAACTACTGCACCAAAGAAAGTGACAGAAGGATAGCAATAGCCCATGGAATGTTTGCATCATTGAAGGAAATATGAGAAAGTGAAAATATATCTATAAAAACAAAGTTGAGAATGATAGAATTTTGTGTTTTTTCAGGCTAGCTCTATGCATGTGAGACATGGACAATAAAGAAAAGAGACAAAAAAAAACAGATTGGAAGCATTTGAGATGAAGTGTTACCGAAATTTGTTAGGAATCAGTTGGAGGCAGAAAGTAAAGAATAAAACCATCAGAAATCAATCTGAAAGACAGAAAAGTGTATATGACAAAGTCAGAGAAAGAAAATTGGGATTTTTTGGATATATATATATATATATATATATATATATATATATATATATATATATATATATATATATATTTTCATTTCATTTTTTCATTTTCATTTCATTTTCAAAGTTATATTCATAATCAACAACATATCAAATAAGTGAATAAAAGTTATGAAGTTGAATATGCGGAGACCGAATAAGACTGTTTGTCTTGTGGTGGCCACTGCAGGTAGATACATGAATAGTTAATGAAATAAAATAAGAAAAATAACTGAAGCAGAAAGATAATTGAAGATAAATAAGTAAATGTTCGTGTCATACATATATAGACATATAACTATGTAAATGTTCGCTCAGTACATATATAAACACATAAATGTTTAACCATTCATAAAGACCATTCATCCGCATCATTTGTTCTAACGTATTCTTAATATAATATTAGGTGGTGGAGTCCGAGATCCAGTGTCAATAAAAAAGCACGGAATTTTGACTTGAAATGTTGTAGGTTTATGATGGCTCTTAGATGGGGAGGTACATGTTCTGTCCAAATGTTAGGACCTGTTATTTTTATGCTTGTCTGGATTAATTTGAGGCGAGTTTTGTAGATATAGAAGAGAGGAGTGTGTCTAGTGGTTGTAGATTGAACGGAGTTACTTAATGTTTTGAAATTGATAAAGTGAGGTGGGAGAAGATTGTTGATAAATTTAAAAACGAACAAAGCAGAGTAGTAAAGACAGATGAAGTTAACTGGTAAATTTTTTTTTGCTAGGAAGAAGGGTTTAGTATGAGAATCGGGTTTGAGGTTAAAAATTAAACGTATTGATCTTTTTTGGGAAAGTATTAGGTTATTCAGGTGGCTTTTTGGACTATTTCCCCATAGTGTGATGCAGTAGGTTAGATAAGGGTAGATGAATGTGTAATAAAGCGTGCGAAGAGCAGAAAGAGAGAGTTTATATTTGATTTTGTAGAAGATGCCTGTGAGTTTGTTGATTTTGTCTGAGGTAGTTTGTAGGTGAGAATTCCATGAAAGATTTTCTGTGATGGTGATTCCAAGAAATTTGGTAGACAGGGTGCGTATATATATACAGTAAATAGCAACAAGAATTTGGTTAGATATATCTAGAAATGTAACAAAAAAACTGTCAAACGCTAGAAATTCGGTAGATTTTACGAATTACATCATTAATAATAGTCTTTTACCAATATATATATATATATATATATATATATATTGCTATATATATATATATATATATATATATTGCACAAATATAGATATATATATATTTGCGTGTGTGTACAGAAAGAGAGAGAGAGATCGGAAAAGAGAGAGAAAATGCGAGAAAACTTTTATAAACACAATTATATCACCTATCGGCTTGTCACATGTTTAATGATTGTGGACGTATTCAACCATGGGAAATCAAATATCTACATTAATAGATAACAGAACATTAGCCACAAGAAATTTGAAAACATTTACAGATCAGACTAAACATTCAAATAATTTCTATGAACAATTACAACGCGAAACTTCTAATGACAGAGACAAAATGGTCAAGCACGAACTATTTTCAAATGTTAAAAACCTGAAGGATGTTAAAATTTTTATGGAAAACCACTCATATGCAGTTTACGATTATATGACTCTGCTGAAAAGTTTGCAACAAAGATTCACCTGTGTAAAATCAGCTTGGGCGCCTCCGAAAAATCAAATTGCTGCTAGACTTATAAACGAAATTGTTCTGGCAGAAGAAACTGATGAAGTTTTTTTATTAGTTAATTATGTAAATTTCATTAAATATTTAAAAATTTTATTAAATTATTTATAGATTGAGCCAAAAGCATTTATGAGTCATTATGAACTTTATCTAAAAGCAATGACCCAACTGGGAGCTAACACCAAACCAGTTATTGCATTAACAAAAGCGATGGAACAAACAAATGATCCAAAGAAAGCTCTCAAAGCTGCACGAAATGAAGGAGCATCTGATCATGCATTGAAATTTCTGGAAGAAACGTTTCAAATAAGTTTTGATACGAATATTCCAGATTATGTGGTAGCCACATATTTTTTATTTGCAAGAAAAGATCCAATACCCGACATGTTTAGAATGATACAAAAAAAGGTATTGTCAAAATTTTGAGTTTATTTTGTGAAAAAATGGAACTTGCCTACATTTTATTCTATATTAATTAGTTTCCAGATCAATGTCTGAAGAAAGATTTTGTGCTTTACCTGGAGCGTCATATCCATTTTGACGAAAAGCGACATGCTTCTATGGCCAAACTTCTAATTGAAAGTTTATGCAAAGATGACGAATTGTTATGGCATCATTGCATAATTACAGCAAAAAATGCTATTCAATCCAGAGTTAAATTTTGGAATGGAGTGCTTGAAGTGATTACTAAATGAATCAGCAAACGACACTTCCTAATTACCATTTGAACAATTTAATTTTTCTATATTTTGAATCAATTTTCCGTCTACTAATGATGATGATGACGAAGTCACATTTAAAATTTTCTTTAAACATTTTTTTCAAATTTACTTTAGTGGTTTGGCTGTAGACTATATTTGTGTTATTTCACACATTTTTTCTTAATCCTTATTGCATATGTTTGTATAATATAGAAAATTTTGCTTAAGGTATGTTAATTTAAAACAAATTATTTGTTGATTTGTTTTCAAAGTTTAAATTTTTAAGGTTTAAAAAGTTAAAAATAATGTAAATATTAGCGAGTAACCATAATATCCATGAGCAACCCATATGCTTGCATTTACTACTTAAAGACGAGCAGTTGCTGTAGTGACAATAGTAATGTTACTCTTCTTCTTGCTTTTGACTATTCCTCTGCTTTTGATACTGTTGATCATACTATTCTCTTGAGGCTGCTAGGTTTTTCTTTTTTCTTGTTTATTTTTGTTTTTGTTTTATATCTTTAATCGTTTTTTTTTGTTCTCAATAATTCTACTTCTAACTCTTCTACTGTTACTTTTAGGGTACCTCAGGGTTCTATTCTTGGCCCTCTTCTATTTATACTCTATACTTCTAAACTACCTTGCATTATTATTAATTTTTTTCTACTAGTCAACTATATGCTGATGATTGTTATATTTACATTTCATTTCCTCCATCTTATCTCAATAGTGTTCTTCATAATCTATCTCTATGTCTTTTTTTCAATTATCGCTTGGTTTCACTCCATTTGTCTTAAACTTAATCCTTCTAAATTTGAATCAATTTGTTTTAATAAATCTAAGCACTCTATTACTATTCCTCTTATTATCTTACCTGATTCTAAAATTCTTGATGTTTCTCGAGAGTTTCGTAGTCTAAATTTTATCTTTGATTCTAGCATGTCTCTTTTGTCAGATTAATAATGTTTGCTAGAAGTTCTTATTTTCCTCTACGTAAAATAAAAAACTTTTGCTTTTCCTTGAGGATCCTACTCTCTCCTTTTTGTTATTTTGTTAGTCTTATTTAGGATTGATTATTGTAACTCGCTCTAGTATGGTCTTTCTGATTCTACACTCTATCCTGCTTGTCTAGTTGTTCGTGCCCCTTTCTTTTCTCATATATCTTCATATCTTGTTCTCTTGCACTGATTACCTGTAAAATATAGAATACTGTTTAAAATTTGCACATTTATGTATAAGTCTCAATCTAAATTATTCCCTAAGTACTTATCAGATATATTAATTGAACCTAAACGCCCCAGTTTACAATTGTCTTCATGTTCTCACTTCTTCATAATTCGTGTTAAACACTCTTTTGCTAAATTTGTTTTTGCTTTTTCTGGCCCTTTTCTCTGAAACTCTCTATTTATTTCTCTGATTACTTTTCCATTACTTAACTTACGAAATTCAGAGCGGATCTCAAAACCCATCTGTTTGCAAAATTCATTGAGGAGAGCTGTTGAACATTGCGGAAATAGCGCTTTATCAATCAATTTATCCCTCTTGATAAAGTCGTAGTAGTAAATCCGATGTATTCTGTGTTTCGGTGCCTACAATCACCGATTTTACAATCAAAAGAATAAATTACATGACAGTTCTTCATTATAAATTTTGGTTTAGTATTGCTGTTATTTTTAAGAACAAAAGATGAGGTTTTGTTGTCGTGTAATAAATCCTAAGTTTTAATTTATCATTTTTATGGACAGTTTTTACATTACCTTTTTCAATCCTTTTTATTATTTTCTCATTGGTTTTATAAGTTGTCAACATTGTATTTTTGTAATAAAGTATTATGTCATTTGTTGTTTTGTCATTGTTACTTTTCTTTGTTACGTCACAATTATTATTGCGATAATAATTTTTTCAATAAATGTTCTTTTGTAACCATTGTTAATAAGCATGTTAGTTAAAGTTTAGTTACTCTATCCTCTAGATATGTAGAATGTGTAAAGGCTCAATTAACAAATTAATAGATCTAAATTTTAAAAAAATTTACTATGGAAAAACCCATAAACGACAAATTTCCTTTCCTCGATTCCTTATTACACAATATAAACAACAAATTCAAAGCTTCCGTTTTTACTAAAACAAGAAATAAAGCATTTTGTTTGAATGGGCGGAGTGAATGCAGCAAAACTTACCAAACAAGCACAAATCTAGAGAATAGTGTAACTGAACTCAAACGGATAACCCACATGCTAAATAACAATGGTTACAAAAAACTATCCAACGCTAGAAATTCGGTCGTCATTCTAAATATAAACTGTAACAAGAGCTGAAGATGATTGAAAACTCAAAATAGGTTCTATACACTTAAAAATGAATTAGAAAACTTTGAGTTTTTCTAACTTTAATAAAATAAATAATTACGATTAATTTGGTTAGTAATATTGAGAAATGTTTTAAAAAGTTATCTATCGATAAAAATTCAGTAGGTTTCACTGGCTGTCTATAAAATATAGAATAATTTTTAAAATTTGCACATTTATTTATAAGTTTCAATTTTAATTATTTTCTAAGTACTTATCTGATATATCAACTGAACCTAGTTGACGGTTTACGATCGTCTTCTTGTTCTCACTTCTTTTTAAGTCGTGTTAAACACTTTTTTGCTAAATCTGCATTTCCTTTTTCTGGTCCTTTTTTGAAACTCTTTACCTCCTTCTCTGACTACTTTTCCAACACTTACGAAGTTCAGAACGGATCTCAAGACCCATCCGTTTGCAAAATCATTGAGAAGCCCTGTTGATCATTGCGGAAATAGCGCTTTATAAACTAATTAATTGATTGATTTTATCAGCTTATATATATATATATATAGAGAGAGAGAGAGAAAGAGAGGAAGAGAAAAAGACTTTTAGATTTAGATATATTTTTAGAGACTATACTTGTTGTTACTTCTAGAAATGATGCAATATCTTCATATCTATACACATAATTTATTCATAGTTTTATTTTGCATCATATACTAAGAACATTAATTATTATATTTTATTATACATACATATATATATTTATAAATATATGTAATATATCAAATACTATATATGTATGAATACATATTTTTTAAAATATGGAACAACAATGGGAATAAATATTGCAGTTTAAAATTCGTTGCAAAATATTAATGTCTATGTTGTTGTGTACGCTAATAAATGAGTTCACAGACAATCTATTTGATATATAAGGTGGATGCTTTCGGTTCATCGATTCATTTCACTCGCTTCATTTAATTCATAATTTGTCCGGTAAATGATTTTTATTTGGTGATTTCCATCGGGTAAACTATTTGGCATAAGTTTACATTCCGAAATACAACGCAAGTTTGCACTCACTATCTCTAATAGAGAGTAAAATAAGCTCCTCCTACTGAAATTCGAAAAGTGCATTGAAATTAAAATAGATTTTTGTAATGTAATAATTTAAATTTGCGTTTTAGATGTTGTGATTATATTATTATATATTTTATTTATAATTTGTACGTATTAAACGTCTTTAATATTTGTACGTATATAATGTTATTTGTAAGTATATAACGTTATTTGTACGTATATACTATATAGCCTATAAAATACAGGAAAAAAATTAGGAAAATTTTATTATACCAAGTAAAAAAAATTGTGCGTATATAGCCTATAAAATACACAAAAAAAAAGTGTTTTTGGTGTATGTGCCTAATAATATTACTGAACGGTTGGTCGCCATACTGTTCGTGCCACAGAAATTCTGCCAAGTAAGTGTGCCTCAAGCTTTTCGACGTGCCGTACATTACTTTGAATTTGGCTTTCAATCGTGCCCACATGGATTCAACGTTTTGGATGTGTGCTCCTGTCATTGGGTCAACAAAATTTTGGGAGTGGTTGACTGTCAAATGAGTGTAGCCCATATTTCCCAGCTGGCTATAGGCACGCCACTCATCTGACACGATGGTTGTGCCAGGAGCAATCCACTTTTGTATTAACAGCAACAAAGTTTTGTACCGTGTTGGATTCCTCCAAAAATCCAACCTTCATTGGCACCCACATTTCTCCCCCTCTGATGCTTGGCCTTCATTATTTTCGACTCATCAATCTCTACAGTGCCAGGGCCACCTATATGGTTAATTTATAAATAATTTTTTGAGCATTGTAATATAATTTCAATTTTTATTAAATTGTTGACAAACTTTGACTTTTAACCTACCTGGTCAATTTGCTCTATGCATTTAAACTGACAAATGTCACGACAAAAATTGAACCAATCAACAACTGTTTTTTGGCTCAGTTTCAGTTCGTGACATGTCAGACTCACTGACACTCTTTGTGACCAGAAATATACCATACGAACAATTCAGCTTAGTCTTAGGTGACTTCTTTCAAAGAATGAGTCTGTCCTGATGCTGCATCTTTTTTGAATAATTGATAAGTATTAATTAACATTTAAATTAATAAATTAAAAAATACTTCAAATATTAAACTTATGTAACCTTCTTTAATTAAACCTATTTTAATAAATTGATTTTAATAAATTTTAATATATATATATATATTGTTATTTTAATCAATATATTACTATTTTAACATATTTAAATATGAAATAAACGTTTTTAAAATTTTTTTTTTTTTCTTTTTATGTCAATCAACCTGCTTATTAGTGGGAGGCGCTTCTGTTACTCTCTATTAGAGATAGTGACGTAAACAAACATAAATGTAAACAAATTTTAACATTGTAGTTTGGAATGTTAAAAATTTAAATATTAATTCAAAAATTTTATTCTTCAAGATAAATAATTTTGTTCATTTGAATTACAATTGCTCAAAATTAAAAGATTTGAACAGAATCATTTCAAAATGTCATTACCAAATACACAATCAGGTCAAGGTATGTAGATTTACTTTTATTTTTTCCATAAATTGGTGTATAACCTGATTAAACCATGTGACAAGAAGATTTTTTTGTCTCATATTAAAATTAAAGTATCGGCAAAATCCTAGGACAGTGCCTACAATGCAATTGAAAACACATTACAAATGCAGTTGATATGTATGAAAAAGAGAATGCACATGTCATAAACAACACAGCTGTAAGTGAACGACCAATGAGAACTAGAAAAGGGAACGCAACACAGCTGTAAGTTGAACGAAAATACAGAGCCATTGAAGTGTCAATTTAAATAGACTATAAAATATAGAGCCATCGAAGTGCTAATGTCACGAATATAAATATCAATTAATCGATTGTTAAATAGCATTCAACAGGCAGCAATATAAATTAGTATCTATATAAATTAAATTTTTGGACAAAAAGGTTGTATACATTTTATTCTCTTTTACCATCTCAAAATTTGTATTTTTTTTTGCATTAAATAATATCAAACAAATATACTAATAAGGATAATTATAAAAAAATTGAAATTAAAATTAAGAAAAAAGAAAAATTAAGGTATCATTGTCCCTGGCATATGTTACATTTCTGTCTAACATGTACAATGATATTTCCAAAATGCAACTTACCGAATTTTTCTCTCGACATAAATTCAGCTAAATATGTAGTCTTCAAGTCTTTAGATGTCCCATACATATATTTAAGTGTACGCTTCAATCTTGCCCACATCGATTCGATATTTTGTGTGTGCACCCGTGACTGGATCAACAAAATGTACACTGTGATTCACTGTGCTGTGAGTATAACCCAAGTTTTTCAACTGACTGTAGGCACGCCACTTATCAGAGACTATTGTTGTCCCAGAAGCAATCCACTTTTGAATGAGAGGGATTAGAGATTGTGAGTCTCATGCCTGTACCTCTTCTGCAAAACATATTCTTGTCTCTCGCTGTATTCCTCCAAATACCCATCCCTCTTTATCTTTATATCTCTTGTTTCTTCCCCTATAATATTTTGCCTTCAGAATTTTAGTTTCATCTATTTCTACAATTGTTCCGGAACCCCCAATCTGTGCAAAATTATCAATACAACGGTCTATTGCAAATGTCCCAGCAAAAATTGTACCAGTCCACGACAGTATTTTTATTTACGCCAACCTCCCTTGATGTAAAATATACAGGCATTTTCTATGCCCAACAATAAAGAATTTGTACCGTTTTTGACATCTCTAATTTACTATTTTTAAAAAATGAATCCTTTCGAATACTTGTCCTTATTTGACAATTTTTTTTTGGACATCGCCAAATGACTCGGTCAACTTTATTAACTAAATGAATAACCTCGTACATTTCTTCCCCGCAGTTTTCGCAAAACATTTCCCGATGCAACAGTCCATTAAACCTTAACCACGGCTTAGTTATTCTACGATTTCTAGTGAGACGATATAGCTTGTTAAAATTTAAACGATTTAATATTATTGCCTGATTCATTTTACAATAAATCTTTTTTTTCAAAAAACGAACTACGATGCATGAAAATATATGTGTTTTATTTAAGGCATATTCGAACAGCTATAGCACACATAAATCATAACCATTTCTAAATATTAAAAATTGTTTCTGCGGCATTTTTACTAGATTAATGATAAAAATTTT